TATAAAGTTTCAGCAGAAATAACTTCAGCTGTCTCCAAGAACGAGATTAGGGAAATTCACATTATTTGATCATTTTTTCCAGTGTGTTTGATTGAAGTTTGGTGGGGTTTTTTTGCAGGCATAGGAAATTATACACAAAATTGACATTTAAAGAAGCCAAGGTCATAAAATCAAGAACTCAAGAGTTAGGAAACCGTATTACTAGAATTGCTTGCACCCTATTCTTTAATCTACTTTATATGCAAACAGTTCGAGTACCTGCTTAAAGTACAATTTTTGATAGGGCCTAATGCCTCAACTACCCTAATGATGATTACGTCTATTATAAGAACAGACCAGGGCACTATAATGTAGAAAAGTTGATTTCTACAAGAAATAAACTTTGTCAAAGTTGGACGAATAAGGCAGCAAATGGCAAGAAAAGCAAAGCAATCCTAGCTGAAGCAGTTGAACACTGCACTGGAGAAGAGCATTCAGCTCTGCTGCTGCCTCAGACTGCTTGGGAGCTACCAAGTATATCATCAAACCCAAATTCGTCACTTATTTTTTGCATCTCTCCTCCATACCCAACACTGAAGGCTGGCAATGTAAAACGACAAGGCACTCAAAACATGGAGTTTTGGTGGTTGTTGGTCCTTAAACAAGGATAAGTTGCTGTCATTTTGAGTCATCTCACAGTCCCAGACCAACCCAAAACTGGGGCTGTGCTGGACTTGAACCTCCCCGAGCCTCACTTCTTCACATGTGAACTGGGACAACTGTATTTTCTCTCTTTGCAGGGGAACTGTAAAAATACCATGCAGACCCACAACCTTGTATGCATGTTTAGGCAAGCAGAGGTCAGGGGAGGACTTGGGTATTACAGCAGTAAACACCATAGGAAAGCCCAGCAGTAATTATTAATTCCATCTTCAAGCATGGTTTGAATAAAGCTCAACTAATGAAGCACTGAAGAATGAGGGTATGATAAAATATTGACTAGCTGCTCCATCATTGTCTGGTCTGTGCCCTAGATAGCACATGGGTATTTTGGAAAAAGCATAATGGAAGCACCTAATTAAAGGCTGGAGCTTTAAGGATTTGAATTTTCAAACTTAATTATTTTTTTTAAAGATTATTTTCATGCAGTTGTATGCAACTCTATTTAAAGAGGTAGTCACATATAGACATGTACATATAGAGAGGTTATATAGGCATATTATTCTAGAAATATACAGACATTTATCTGTGTGTATCTAGACTTCCCTGAAACATAGACAAGTATACAACACCTAATGCAGCCCTTGATGAGAATTGCTCTCTCTTCTCCGTGGAGTACCAGCAGTAATTATTTACCATTAATTCTTAATGGGAAGAGATTCAGCTGGGATGTAGTAAACAAGAAAACTGTATAGATTGTTCAGTATAGCCTGACTGGCTCTCAGCTGAGGTACAAAGTGATTGGATCACACCTCCTGGATATTTCAATCACAGTTTCTATCACTGGGGAAAAGAACCTTATTAACCTGTACTTGGTCAGGTCCCTTCCATGTCCACATATGCAACACTGTCAAGATCATGGCAAGTGCTCCTTCTAGTTCACATCACCATGCGTCATGCCTAAAATGCTGCAGGGTTAAACAACTACTAAGACAGAGACCTGAAGAGTTCATTTAGACTTACGACATCTTGAACTCTGCTACCTTCCTACCTTCCATAGATTCTGGTTTTGTTTAGGTTTTTTTGTAATAAGGTAAAGGCTCCCTCTTTCCAACAACAGAAACATCCAACTGTGGCAAAAAGATGGTCACAAAAGGCAACAGTGGTGATTTGCAAGCAAAATAATTGCATGTGGAAAAAAAAAAGAAAGGAAGAATCCTTCAAGTGGATTATTTCATTGCTTTTAAAAAATAGAACAACCCAAGGAAAAGGGACAAGTTAAAACTGTGGTATTTTTAAAGATGTGTCCTACCACGGATACATTTTCTGGCACGTCTCACATCATCACCCATTCCTGTGACTCCTCCACCGTCAATAGGAGTTGTGTGCATCAACCCAGGGGGCCTGAACACCAGGCAGAAATGTGTATGTATGTGAAAAGCACCGTTTTTTTTCGTTATGGCAGAGCACTGAAGTATGCAACTAGCACATACTGTAAAGGCATTCAAAATATGACAAAAAAAAAAATTCTTCAAATGCTTTCAATCTGCAGAAAACAAACGCTCTCTTCACTGGCTGCTCTGTGGCAAACTTCTAATTCTATCCAGAAAATCCAGCATTCCCAGTCTGGGCTAACGACCATGCTACCAGACATGAGTTTATGTTTTTCATGCACATTTCATGTATTCCCACATGCTGTGTTGCTGCCAATAATTTATGACTGATCTGCACCCAGCCTGCCCTTCAGCATTTTATTTAATCTCTGCAACAGTGATTTACAATGACTCATCATTAATACAAAAATGTACATGTGTGTTAACAAGTTTGGAAGAATCTAAGGAGGAAGGCAAAATTTTTTGCAAGTCGTGGCTGAATGACTTATGAGCCCACTGAAGAAAGGCAAAGCTAAGCAGAAATGATACACTAGCTCTTCCCTCCAGAGGGAATTTAGGCAAGAAGAGTTTCTTTCTCCTGCATACCACCTTAGAAGAAAAAGATTCACCAAAAGGTTGGGAGAGGGCTGCCCCACACCCCCAAGGATCTGGGAGAGGATGAGTAGCTCGTTGGTCAACCCATGGCTGGATGTTTCCTGAGGATGTACGTACATGTGCAACCTGCACGTTCAGCCATGGCCTCACAGCCTCTTTGTTCCTTAGCATCCATTACAAAAAGCCGGGGCCGAATTACTGTAGTTTGGCATTTCTGCGACCACCTGTGATTTAAGAAAGCCCCGACTGTCTCTATAGTGTTAAATCTTTGTGCAGCTGGGGAGAGAAGGGGAATTGTCTCGGTAATTTATACAATTGTAACACCGCAGCAGAATTACCAAACTAGCTCAAGCAGAGGAAGCCTGCCCTACATCCACAAGACTTCAGTTATAATGTATTTTGACCTCCTTTTTTTTCCTTCTCTTCTCCTTGCACATAAGAAACTTATAAAAACACATCTGACACAAAGTCAGAGTAAAAACTCCTCAAATGGGTACTGAAAAGCACCCTGAAAAGTCACTCAGGAGGAATTCCACCAGCTTCAGTTCAAAGCATCATTATATTCATGATGTCAAAAAGACTTTTTGATGGACCATCGTAACAGACACACTTGCCCATACCGAATCCTACATCACCATACCCCTCCAAAGCAGCACACACGTGCTCCACCCCATCATTAAATAGAACCCCTGATGAACATACACAGCTTCTCAACTGGCCAAAGTGCCTATTGTTAAACTGAAGGACAACCATAACAATTAGAGTTTCACCTGGATGAAGGCTGGATAATGTAGAGTTGAAGCGAACACTAATTTTTTGTGGCTGAGCCAAAATACTGTGGGTCATGTATCCTTATAACACGTATTTCATGTTTAGTGCCTTCTATTCCTCTGTTTTAAAGTAAGTATCTTGGAAGCATACTTCACATACACTAAGTATTTGGTATTTGCTTTTTTATTCAGTGTCTTAAAGGGCTTCAAAAAATTGATCTCCCAGGGCTGCTGTGGGGTCACAGAAATTGATAACCCTTACAAGCTATGCTTATGTGAGCCCGCCTGCGTCTCCCAGATAGTGCACTTTGTAAATTAATCCTCCAAAGGCAAATATATTGTAAGTAGCTTGTTATCTCTAAAGTACTAAATTGAAGAATACATGGGATTATATTGACAGAAATTACATTTTCTGTAATGGGGTTTAATATATCTGAAATCTCTCCCATAGGCTCCTACTCTCTCTAAGAGAGGAGGGTTTGTTAATGTAGGTGCAATGGACATCAAGACCAAATTTATTCACTAAAATGGATTAGGCCATGTAATCAGAGCTTCAGTAATATTAATCTCTGACACTTATTGAACAGAAAAAAAACCCCAACTTTTGTCTGCAAACTGGCATTCCTCCCTCCCCTTTCCCCAGCAGGCTCGCCGTTTGCCTTGGCCATTTTCTGGATATTACTTCAAAGAGGATAAGGTTTCCCATCATAAACACTAATCTAAAAATATTAGGACAATTAATTAGATACACTTAGTTTTACAAGGTATTAGATTGCAATACACTTCAAATACAACACTTACTCTGGGATAGTGGGAGAAACCTGCATTTCAATGCAGTAACAAAGGGTAATAAATCAAACTTTTTTTTTTTTTTTTTAGGGTTCACTGTTGTGTTTTTATACTTAAATTACACGTAATTTTCACTGGTTGCCTTCACCACATCCTGGACAGTTAGCAACCCAAAATCCACTGCAGAAAACAGAACAGATCCCAGTTCCCTTGAAAGAAATCACTTCAACAACAGATCAGGGACTCCAGCAACTCTTAGCTGGAATAAATAAATAAAATTGCTCCACACTGTACTTCAGCAGCAAAAAGCCAGATTGTCCTCAAAGTTTATTCACGCTTTCAAAAACCGGACTTTTAAAACGAACCAGTAAAGAGATAGAAGGATGTCAGTCAAAAAGGAAAACCCCACTACCAACATTAAAAAAAGCATGACAGCATCCCAAAATAACAATACGCTCTGCAGAAATGGGGCCAATTGCACCTTTTTTCACCCAACATCTCAACCTCTTCCAAGACCAAAGTTCTCAAAAATGTACATAGCTTCCTATTAAAGAAGACACGCAGCCAGAAGGAGTGGTACCCAAATGCGAATACACTGAAATTTGCCCAAGAGCTGGGAAAATAAATACAGCTTGTTTTATGCAGTAGCAAACCTCTTAGTTCCCATAACTGAAACCACTCATCCAGCTATTTGCCTTTTGCACCAATAAACTGCTGAGAGAGAGCAGGCAGGGCAAGGTGAGTCCTCAAAAATGCAAAACGTTAGCCAGAGGGTGCCAGCAGCCATATAGAAACACCAAGGAAAATTACTTACCAGTTGTTCACTTGAAGTATAGTGAGCCCTGTGTCTTGTGCCAACTGCTTTTTCTGTTCTTCTGAAGGGTAAGGGTGCTACAAGATACCAAAATAAATATATACATTTAAAACAATGCTCCTTTTTTTGCCTACTTTTTATTTTAAGCTAAAAAACAACCCCCCAGACCAAAGCAGGAGTGTGACATCTATTGAAAGGTGAAAATGCTGAGGTGTGTCACTCTTTTATAATTATTAATGGGCTACTACATCACTTAATTAATGGCAGTAAAAGACAAGCCAATTATAAAGATTAGTGAAGTGGAGAAATAACTGCTTAGGATACTGGCAGTACCTTGATACTCAAGAAGGGTATTTGTTGCATTAGCTGAGAGTTTTGCACTTGTCTCAAATGACCGATTAGAGCCAAATCACCTCTTACCCCCCATCGCCCCCCCCCCATATTTCACAGAACAATAAAGCACTTCTCTGTAAAACTAAAACAAGCTGATGTTTTCTGAGACAGTGAAGGCAAATCTTGCCAGTGCCCCAAAATAATTTGCAAATAAGATCAGCATCCCGAACATAAACAAACGCCTGGGTTTTGAACACAGGCCAACACAAGGTCAATGATCAGCACATTTTTGCCTGACATTAACATAGCTGTGCTGCACTAATCCTAAGAGACAGAAAATAAATACTGGTTTAATTGAAGATAATGTTAAAATTCAATCATAAGTTAAGTTTCTTGTGAGAACCTGATTGCTTTCTCAGAAAATTTGCTTCTGCATGAATACAGATTGCTTAATAAATCAACAGCAAAAAGCACATCCAAGTTTGAAATTTAGAAATATCATTTCTGTCCTTTCCCTCAATGTAAAAATGTCACTATCCAAAAATTAAAAGGCCAAATATTGTAAACAGCGCTCAGGAAAGCCCTGTTTTAAGGATCTGGCTTAGCATGTCTCAGTACACATCGGATTCAGACCTCGTCTGCTGCAAGATACTTAACATTTCAATAAAAATAATTTGATATAACTGGTTAGACCTACTCCACCATCCCATTTAGCACTTGGTTGTCACAAAGTATTTGCTGTTATACACACATCCCTTTTTTCCCCAAAACATTTCCATATTCTTTGGATGTATTCTTCGGCATAATATTACACGAGATGTAAACTGAAACCTTGTAAAGCATAAGAATTTAAAACCTCGTAAAATTCTGCAATCTTATTGGTATCGTAACTATTTAGCAGATTTTATATATTCTTGTAAACAGCATATCTGACATCTAACAGCTATTTTACATGCCTGAATCACCTCAACTTTACCAAACAGGAATTTTTGTAGTAACTACGGCAACTTCCCTGTGCCCAACATGCCCATTTCAAAGCCCATCGCTGTGGCCATTGGCTCCAAAAGGTAGTTTTTTTCACCCAAAACCAGTGGGGAATTTCCCATTCTTTTAAAATTACTATTTCCTTTACAGTAAGCTTACAGATAACTGGTACAGCTGTAAACTACCCCCTGTATTTTCTGCATGAACGTGAAAACAGCTCCAGAATTGCAAACTGGATGACATGGGGAAAGCGGTTTTACTTCTTTTTAATGGGTAATTTGCATTTTACACATACAAAAATATAGCATGAATTTTATCATCTACCTTACATACACGTTCATCCACAACAAACACTTGTACTTAATGTCCATCTATCGAAACATAACATTTTGCTTCTCTTAAAAACCCCCAGCCCTACAGAGATGATTTGTAACATTTTCATCTTTATAGCTTACTTCCCATTTCATTACTTTGCTATCAAGCACAGACAAAATTATTCTTTTTCTTCTTATTTCGCTTTGCCACCTTACATGTGATCTAATTTTAAGTAATTGAACAAACTGTGTCTAATTTCATGCAGCAAGCAATAATTACTAGACAGCCGCTAGCTATTGGAATTGAGAACTCTGTCTCCATTAAGCAATTTTCAATTGTTCTGGACTTCTTTCCAAATAGACAAGACTGGATAAAATTAGCCATCAGAATAATACAGTCACTGTAAAAATAATTGCTTTAAAAGTCTCAAACCCCAAATTCTTCCAATTGCAGTATGTTTAAGGTCATCCGATTATTCTTTTTTTTCCTACACTAGCATAGCATAAACTTTTAATTCAATGATAAATCTATAATTGCCATAATCACATGACAGACTGGGACTTCACATAGCTAATCCCTCTTAGCTAAGGGTTCACAATGCGGCAGGCTTTTTAACTATGATTTGGTGGGGTTTAAAATAATCTTAAACACTGGGCATCCTTATTATATAAGCTTTCTACGGATCGTACGAGTTGTTCCTTTGTAAGCTAAAAAAAACCCCATAATAAAAATGACTTGACAAAGAATCAGCATGCCACAGGCTAGGTTGCTATAAAAACATTCAAAGCCTTGTTGCATTCCCACCCACAGGGCTAGGAAGGCCTGTGCTATAGGCAAAGGCAGACATCACATTGCAACAGACAGAAAGGGGTAAACCCTGAGAACTGCCATTTTATAAAGAAATAGGAAATTCAGTGAAAACTTGCTGTTGGTCTTTATTTCACCTGTGCAAGAACAACAGGTGTTTCCAAAACCTTTCTAATGGTTGTTCAAAGGGATAAAGACACATGCACAGAGTTATGGGTATATGTATTTGCAAATACATGTATATTATATTTGTGTGTGTATGTATAAATTATGTATCTAAATATTTATATAAAACATATATCTTGGTCAAATAGTTTAGTTATAGGTAGTCTTGTGACAAGCAGGAAGTTGGACTTGATGATACTTATGGGTCTCTTCCAAACTGAGCTATTCTATGATTCTATATATAAATCTATCTATGTAAAATATATGCATATATATAAATATATATGGACGTGTGTGTCTAAAAACACTACACTGACTCCAGTTGTCAAGTCCACCTATCACTCTGGATCACTTTGGCATATCAAAGCAAATTGTACCACTGTTCAATAAACAGTGACTTGAGACCTTTACTTTGTTGTGTACGTTAGCTCCTACCATTATCTCTTAAAAGCTTAATTATTTGCAAACAATTGATCAAGATGGGAATTGGAGAAAAGAGACGCCGGACCACCGGGAGAGCTGCAATGCATTAGGAGAGCAAACAGAATTACCTTTAGGTCTTATAATCAGAATTAACGATTGGGACCGTACGCAGGGCAGCGCAAGAAGCTGTAACGCTCTTGCTGGAGTGTTTTCCATTTGATCTGCATTAACACCTCGAGTGAAAGCCATAAAACGGTGATTACAGATGGGAAGGCTGACCCTCCTTCCCAGAACCAGCCCAGCTTGTGTATACTGGAAAGCTGCAAGATAGGCTTTCTTGCCAAGGCCAGAGGAAAAGGGCAAATCCAAAGGGAAAAAAAAAAGTAGGAAGCAAGCAGGTTGAAAAAAAAAGGGCATTTGAAAGAATAAGGCTGACAACAGATAAGGACTCTGAATCTGGCTCTGGTATTTTCTGATCATGCCTGCTACTGCTACAGCACTATAGAGCAGCATCCACTGAATGGTATGAGACCTAGTGCTTTTCCCTTCCCATAAATCTAGCACTGAAATGTGGATTGTTTGGCACCATTAATGTGTTTTTGAGGCTCTGTGGTATTACTTTTAATAATGACTTAGTACAGAAAGTGATTGCTTAATAACACCATCAAAGTCTGCATGCAAATGAAAATTATCCCTGGGGGATTTGCCCAGGGTAATATGAACAGTTAAGGAACATTTGAAAAGGTAAAAATAACTATGCAAAATATGAGTCAGAGCAGTCATTTTAGCAGTAACAAAGAAATCAAAGTGACAGAGAGAAAAATGTAACTTTCCATCATATTCTCTTGTCACTGTTTTATGAATGGTATTTAGAAAGCAGCAGTCTTAATAAAAGCCCCTTTTCAATGCAGCCGAGGTCATTTTTAGCAAAACAAACAATAAGACTTTTTTTTACCACCTTTGACTACAGCCACTGGGTAAAGGCTCCAGTAGATACAGATGGAAAGCGTCCAAGTTTGTGTCTTAATGATACCCCTTGTCCAAATGTACTCCTTTCCTCAAATTTTCCATCCCAGGCTGCAAAAGCTAGATGCCAGGACAGCGAAAGACTTTATCTGTAATGCAGTATCAATAACACTGGTTCCTCTCTGCCTTGTCCACTGTTACAGCACATTGTAATGGTGGCAGACAAATATGAAAATAGTCCTGCCCAGAGTTTACTGCTGAGATAAAAGGAGGCAAAACCACCCCTTTCAGCCCAAATTACTATTTCCTTGTGCCTTGACACCAACACTGCCAACCAGCCTTACCACAGCACAGAGGCAGACTCAGCCCCCAAGCAAAAGGTTGCACATTACATTATACGGGTGTCGTGGCAACCATCCAGCATCGCCCTTATCACTGCAGCACTGTCGCTTGGCTGACCATGCCACGAGAACCATTTCGGAAGTCCTTTTATCCTTTTCCTCCAGCCCTCTGCCTTCTCCAGAGCACAGTGTAATGCACCAAAACAAGATGACCTTGAGCTAAACTCTGGTAGATGATGGAGAGAAACTGTCCCCCCCCCAAAAAAAAAAAAAAAAATTATGCCCTCAGGAGGGTTTATTAACTGTTTTCTAACATCAAAATAAAAAGAAAAAACCCAACACTAAGATATTCTTGTTTCTGAAGAGCAACTCAGCCTACACCTAACTCAGTAACCAGAATAAAGCCCAAGGCTCAGCCCTCCAGTGACAAACTGCACATAGATTTTATGCTGAACTCTAAGACCTTGCTTTACCCAAACTTGTCAAGGGTTAGCTAAGGCGCTAGCACAGCCATTTGGGTCTCTGCCCTTCCCCTGCCTCCTCCTGATTTGTATTTGAACTGTTTACATTAGTGATCAAGTTGATCTACGAGAAATTACTTATTTTTTTTAATATCCATAATGCTTTCCTATTGTCTCTTAGCTTTATGAATTAGTTTTACTGTTGCAGTGAATGCTTTTTTTGTCTCCTGACTGCACATTATCAAAGGGACACTTTGTGCCTGCCATTTGCATTACAAAAGC